TGCTAGTTTTGGGTTTTATTTGCTGTTCTTTTTCCAGCTCTTTAAGGTGTAAGATTAGGTTGTGTATCTGAGATCTGTCTTCCTTCTTTAAGAAGGCCTGGATTGCTAAATACATTCCTCTTATGACTGCCTTTGCTGTGTCCCAGAGGTTTTCGGTTGTGGTGCTATCATTCTCATTGACTTCCATAAACTTTTTAATTTCCTCTTTAACTTCTTGATTAGCCCAGTAATTCTTTAGTAGGATGTTCTTTAGTCTGCAAGTATTTGTTACCTTTCCAAAATTTTTCTTGTGGTTGATTTTCAGTTTCATAGCTTTGTGGTCTGAAAATATGCACGGTTTGATCTCAATCTTTTTGTACTTACTTAGGGCTGATTTGTGTCCCAGTATATGGTCTATTCTGGAGAATTTTCTATGTGCACTGGAGAAGAATGTATATTCTGCTGCTTTAGGATGAAATGTTCTGAATATATGTGTTAAGTCCATCTGGTCCAGTGTGTCATTCAAAGCCATTGTTTCCTTGTTGATTTTTTGATTAGATGATCTGTCCAGTGCTGTGAGTGTGGTGTTGAAGTCTCCTACTATTATGGTATTACTATCGATGAGTTTCTTTATGTTTGTGATTAATTGATTGATATATTTGGGTGCTCCCACCTTTGGCACATAAATGTTTACAATTAGGTCTTCTTGGTGGATAGACCCTTCATTATGATATAATGCCCTTCTGCATCTCTTGATACAGTCTTTATTGTAAAGCCTACATTGTCTGATATGAGTATGGCTACTCCGGCTTTCTTTTGTTGACCATTAGTATGATAGATGGTTCTCCATCCCCTTATTTTCAATCTGAAGGTGTCTTTAGGTCTAAAGTGGGTTTTTGTAGACAGCATATAGATGGATCTTGTTTTCTTATCCATTCTGTTACCCTATGTCTTTTGATTGGAGCATTTAGTCCATTGACATTTAGAGTGAGTACTGAAAGATATGAATTTATTGCCATTATCATGCTTGTAGAGTTGGAGTTTCTGGCGGTGTTCTCTGGTCCTTTCTAATCTTTGTTGCTTTTGGTATTTATTTATTTATTTATTTATCTCTCTCTCTATATATATTTATATATACATACACATACATACATATATACATATTCATCTTTTCTCCCCTCAGAGAGTCCCCCTTAAAATTTCTTGCAGGGCTGGTTTAGTGGTCACAAACTCCTTTAATTTTTGTTTGGGAAACTTTTTATCTCTCCTTCTATTTTGAATGACAGTCTTGCTGGATAGAGAATCCTTGGCTGCTTATTTTTCTGATTTAGCACATTGAATATATCCTGCCACTCCTTTCTGGCCTGCCATATTTCTGTGGATAGGTCTGCTCCTACCCTGATCAGTCTTCCCTTGTAGGTTAGGGACTTTTTTTCCCTTGCTGCTTTCATGATTCTCTCCTTGACTGAGTATTTTGTGAATTTGACTATGATATGCCTTGTTGATGGTCAGTTTTTGTTGAATCTAATGGGGGTCCTCTGTGCTTCCTGGATTTTGATGTCTGTGTCTTTCCCCAGGTTAGGACAATTTTCTGCTATGATTTACTCACATAACCCTTCTACCCCTATTTCTCCCTTTTCCTCTTCTGGGACCCCTGTGATTCTGATGTTGTTCCTTTTTAATGAGTCACTGATTTCTCTAATTCTTAAATTGTGCTCTTTTGTCTTAATCTCGTCTTTTTTCTGCTTCATTATTCTCTATAAGTTTGTCCTCTATATTGCTGATTCTGTTCTGCCTCATCCATCCTTGCTGCTGCTCCATCCATCCATGATTGAAGCTCAGTTATAGCATTTTTAATTTCAATCTATTTTTTTCTGCTTTTATCTCTGCAGAAAGGGATTCTAATCTATTTTCAGCTCCAGCTAGTATTCTTATTATCGTGATTCTAAATTCTGGTTCAGACATCTTGCTTGTATGTGTGTTGGTTAAATCCCTGGCTGTTGTTTATTTGTGCTCTTTCTTTTGGGGTGAATTCCTTCATTTTGTCATTTTGAAGGGAGAAAAGAAATTAATGAGGTAGAAAAGTTAAGATCAAAAATAATTAAAATTAAAAAAAAATTAAAATTAAAAAATTAAACACACACACACAAAATCTAATAAATGATGCTAGATCTTAGGTGTGTTTTGGTCTGGGTATTGAATGTGGTTTGAAAGATTAGAGAAAAAAACAGGGGAAAAAAGGAAATCATTTGAGAATTTGAAAAAATGAATACACTGAAGTAGACTAAAATGAGATGATGGGAGCAAAATAGAATTTAAAAAAAATTTACACAAAAGTAAGGAATATAGGAGGAAAAATATTAAAGAAAATATTTTTCATAAAAATTAAAAATAAAAATGAATTTTTTTCTCTTTATTCAAGAAAAAGAAACAAAAAAGAGAAAAAAGAAAAAAGAAATCATTTGAAAATTTGAAAAAGTGAATACACTGTAGTAGACTAAAATAAAATGATGGAAGTAAAATAGAATTTGAAAAAATTTACGTAAAAGCAAAAAGTATATTAAAAATTAAAAAAAAATATTTTTAATAGAAATTGAAGGGAAAAATGAAGTTTTTCACTTTCTTCATTCAAGTAAAGACAAGAAACAAAAAAGAAAAAAGAAAAAAAAAACAAGGAAATCATTTGAAAATTTGAAAAGGTGAGAATACACTGAAGTAGACTAAAATAGAATGATGGAAGTAAGATACAATTTGAAAAAATTTACACAAAAGGAAAAAATATAGTAAAAAAATTAAAGAAAATATTTTTAATAAAAATTGAAAATAAAAATGAATTTTTTCTCTTTCTGTATTCAAGAAAAAGAATAGTGTAAAGAGAGAAAAAAAGAAAAAAAACAGAAAATTAAATAGCTAGACCTGCTAATAGATTGAAATGGGGTGAAATTACTTCGTTTTCCCCTAGAAGTCAGATTATGTAGCGCTTTATAGTCCATAAAGTAAGTAGGCGGTGAGCCTTGTGTTCTTGAAGAGTGAGGTTGGCCCAGTTGGGCCGGGCTCAGTGTAACGGCTCTGTTCTTCACTAGATGGCGCAGCTAGCCTACTGGGGTGGATTGTTGGGGCACTCGTAGGTGCGTATGCGTGGGAGCAGTGCAAATGGCGTCACCCAGCTACCCAGTCTCTAATATGGGAACTCTGTTCTCTCCTATAAGCAATCGTGCACCCTTCCTCTGTCTTCAGCTTTCGTCCACTCCCCGCTTCTTCACTGTTCGTGACCAAGCCCCAGGC